AAATGTAAGGCATGATACAAATCCTATCAAATTCTAAGACATGGAGGTTAGAGAAAAAGGAAACTCACGTGACTGGAATAGGTGACGGGCGTTGTTTGACCCGCAGAAGGAACGGTGTTCGAATCCATCGATAATGGATCCGCTGTGGATGGTTGGACTAATCGGGGACTCTTCGATTTTTTCTGTAGGGCAGAAATCGAAAAGAGGTATGAGACTCCATAGGGAAACATGTTATAAACAAAAGAATGAATGAGACAAAGAGATCGAAAAGAACCTTCGATTTTTTCGAAGACGAAGTGGTGGTGGTGGCTGACTGTTTTCGTTTTCTAGTAAAGGCCAGAGGGTCCGATTCATCTGGGGACTCCCAGCTTGCTTCCTTCTCCTTCTCTTGCACCTTTTCGAAGGCGACTATCTTGGTAGATTTTGCAACTATCGAGGAATAAAGATAGTTAATTTTCAAAATATAGAATCGAAAACTAAGAAAAAACAGTAAAACCTCACCAAAAGGTGATGGAGTCAAAATTGTGACTCGATCGATATGTACTAGCCAAGGAGGTAGGAAAGCTTCAGGGAGGTTAAGGTAAGGGAAATAAAATAGTCTCGACACAGTAATATCTTTGTTCTTAGGTTTGGGACGTAATGTTTCTTTCGATGTTCTCAGTTCTCGAACCCATTTAGGATGTGTTAAAGGTTTGGCAACTCCAAAGGGAGCATTGGGAAAAATAGGAAGGCGATTGGGACAATATATCTCAAAAGGGGTCTTTCCTAATGGATTGATTATTTTACGATCGGTTCGATTAGCGGTGGTTTTTTGAGACAGGGAAATAACAGCATCATAAAAGGTCGATTCTAATCTCAATGGGTTGTAACAGATTTGATAAAAATGCTCGAATCGAGTTATTTGGAGATAGTGGGAGTGTTTACCTTTCTTCGCCTTCGACTTGTCCTGCAACACAAAAGAAGGATGAGCAGTCAGTTTCTGTCGAACCTCGTCAAAAACAGCGTGATTACTCGAGAACCAAGTGGTCCACCATTGAGAAAATTCCACAGTTGATAAATAATTCGATTCGAACACATATAGGTAAAGATGCATCGAGGTTCTTGGCAAAAACTTAATAAGCTCTCGTCCGATGTTCGATTCAGTCAACTTGGATTTGGAAAAGTTATTTAAAGGGAAAAAGGGTAAAGACTGGCTCAAGCCAAATTGTCTGGAAAAAAGCTGAGGATAGTAAGTAACGAACTTAAAATCCCTGGGATGGAAACCCGATACCAGTACATCATGGGTCAAGTAGCTACTCCATATATCGACCAGTTCTAATTGTAACCCGGGAGTTGAGGCAGGAAATCTTGACTTGAACCAGATCGGTCCCCTAAGTTGATCATTTACTTGCTCAAAATTTACAATAAACGGGGCCAAGGTTGAATCGAAAACAAATCTGGTTAACAAAAATTGGAGATATTTACAATATGTGGCTTCGTCAGATTTATGGCGAGGATGGCGGGAGGATAATCGAGCCCCTTCTATATTTACACTCAGGGGAACAGTAGAATATCGAGGAAGGACGCTCTCAAAAATGGATGTTAACCATAGCTGTATGAACCAAACAGGGCCAGAAAAATTCCCCGATGCCTTAGGAGTACTTAAGATTTCGACAGCCTCGTCGAAAGCAGTATATACATGTGCTAACAAAAACTTGGCCAAACATAGGCGAGGTTGACCTAAGTGAAGGAGATACGCAAGGTTGAAGAGATGGGGGGAAATTTGGATCGATCGGGGGCAAAACACATGGGTGCACAGCCAATACACCAAAAACGCTACATGTTCTTCATCAGTAACATCTATCGAGGGATCATCAACGAAATGTTTCTCAATGAAATGCCCGTAGGCCTTCGATTCCCAATCGATTTTAGACTTCAACGAATTATCCGAGGGACATGCACCCTGAAAATATCTCTCCCCTATAGGCTTTAACCCAGTGATGGCTGCGACATCGAGAAGAGTAGGTGAGAGGGGGCCGCAAGGTAATTCCAATGCATGTATCTCTTTATTCCATAAGTGCACGGCAGCCAGGAACATAGCCATGTCGAGGTAGGATAAGTCACATTGAGATAAGTGTAGAAAATCAAAAATCCCCACATTCTTCCAATGGTTCCCAAATTTAGCCTTGACCCTATCAAACCATCTAGTGAACAAAGATTTTTTGGAGGGAGGGCCTGTCCTATACACCTTAGAAACAAAATTCAAAAAATCGATCCTAACTTCGGGTTGATGAACGAGAGCAGGGCTGCTTGAGAGGGTGAGAGGAGAAACGGTTCCACTACCAAAAAGAATGGGGCCCCCAAAACCAAAACCAACCCCACCAACAGTGTAAGGAACTAATACCTGCGTTTCAGCAATCTTTTTGGAAGCTTCCTCCATCAGAGGCAAGGGAGCAAACTGCTGGTTATTAATCTCCAGCAAGGTAACAGTAGATGAGGTAAGAGGAGGAGCCGAGAAATCAGATGACTTGGATGAAGAGGCCATTATAATAAGATTAGAGAAATAGTAAGGAAGTTGACAGGTAAAGTAACAGGAACGAAGGCAGGAGCTTAGAGAAGAAGACAAGATTGCAAAAGAGGATAAAAGTTCGCGTAAAGCCAAAATGAAGATAGGGTAAGAGGTTAAAAGGAAATCGTATAGGAAGATGGAACGACGGAGGTGAAAGGTAATAAATGCAGCGTACTGAAAAAGGCAACAGACTGACGAGACGGTGACGTAAAGCGGAAAAGAAACCTAAAACCCTTTTAACCCTAAAACCCCAGAAACCCTAAACCCTAAGTTCTGTGGGCCTCCAAACAATAAGGCGGGAATATTGAAAGAATATAAACAAATTATTCATATTCTTCCAAGGGGGCATTTTGTTAGTAGCAAATCGAGAAAAGCTATCGAAAATGAAGAAAAGGAATGTGACTCGATAAGATTCAATCGATGTCTAGTTAGAAGTACGTAGCGTATAGTATCGAAAAGCACAATCGAGAATCGAGTGAATGATAACCAAATGCCTGTTGTCGAATAAAAACTAAGTCACATGAGACTAAGGTTAAAAAGGAATCGTAAGCAATTCGAAGTTCTCAAAAAACATATAATCGAGAGTAAAGGAAACCAATGCGGACATCGAAACCCTGGACAAACCACAAAAGAATAAGTCAAATGCACGTATAGAAAGCAGTTTTGGGACCATGGAAGGAGTTGAGGATCGTGAGAACGTGGGCAACTGCAGAAAAGGAAACCGCCATGCACGAAAGAACGTGGTAGCAATCTTATTAACTGTTCCTGGAAGGCTTAAAAGAGACCCTATAAATAGAGCAAAGGAGAAGGAAAAGGGGGGCAGAAATTGGCAGAGAACAGAATCAGTAGTGAAAAGTCTACCGGAGAAACGACGAACACCATGAAGTTTCTGGCAATCTGGATTTCCCTGCTCACTGAGTACATTTATCGCTTTCTGTATTTTCCTTGGTAATTTACTTTGATGCAAATTAAATTCAGCAATTTTATATTTCTGTAATTTTCGATTCCTTGTCATTTCAATTCATGCAATTTAAGTTTGTATTTGAATTCTCTGGGTCTTTTACATTAATGCAATTTCGATTTCCAGTCTTTTACTACATTTTCGATTTAATTACTGTTTAATTTCTTGGTCATTTACGTTGCCGCACATTTCGATTTATGGGGTTATTTACTTTATGCAATTTCGATTTCTTGTCATTCATATTTGTACTGTGTTCGATTTCCTGTCATTTCAAATTTGGGATTTACTTTACGCACTTTACTTTTTCTTGCAATTTAATATTCAAGTTTCTCGATTCTACTTTTACTGCTTTCGATACTTTGAACACAAAACACCAAAAAATAGCATTTTCGATATCTTGTAATTTTCGATTCTCATACCTGTTTTCGATTGAAAGTCAAACTGCTAGTCTAAGTAAAAAGAACTTACGTGGGAGGATTTCGATTAAAAGACCAAAATACCCTTAAAATTGAAATCGATCGAAATTCCACCACAAACAGTTATATAAAAAAAGAAAAATGAGCCGTCAATTATTTAATAATTAAATAAGGGTCTTTCATCAAAGGATAAGATTTAATCATCTCTTCCCACCTTTAATTCTTCTCTCTCAAATTACTCTTTTCTACTTTCTACACTTCTTCAGACTTCATTTCCTTATCCAATTTTTTTTTCCATAAGTTAATTTTTTCCATTTTTAAGTAAGCGTTGCTACTTTTAAAACCAGTGATAGTGACTAAAACATAATTATATTCTTATTTATTTGAAAGCATTTTAAGAAAATGAGATACGGAAATATCAATTACCACTTTCCCTTATTTCACATATATACTATTTGTTTATTTTTTTTAATTTGATTTAATCTTTATAATTCGGACAAAATATAGCATATTGAAAAATGTTTATGCAAAAAAAAAAAAAAAACGAAAATTATGAAAAAAAAAAAATCAAATAAATAATCAATCTTTAAAAAGTATTGTAAAAGTAATATATTAAAAAAATACCATAAATATTTTCTTTACGTAGTTTGCCAAGTTGTGCAGATGTCTGCGGATATAATTCTGGAAAGACATCATCACATAATTAATAATCCCACAACAACCCAACTTGTCCTTGTTTCAAACTCCAAAAACACACTCCATATTCATTACAAAAAGCACTAACACCCAACCTCTTTCTTCTTCTTCTTCTTCTTCTTCCCCCCAAATTTCTTCCTATTTCCCCTCCTCTAATCAAATCATTAATTCAGGGAGAGAAACCAAAATCAATGCTACCATGGTATCTTCCAAGGAGAGAGAAAACAATACACCACGCCCCAACACACTCGCAGACTTGTAATCCATAAGACCATCTTCACCCCCACCTGAAAAACACAACCTTTGCTTTCTGATCCAAACTTAACACACTGCAGTACGGTTGACTACTTTAAAGATTTGTTTTTTGGTGACAGAGAAAATGGCGGCGAAATCGAGTTCGAGTTCGACAAACGTGACCGTGAAGGCGGCGTGGGTTCTGCCGCACCGCACGAAGAACCTCCGGGAGGTGTACGAGGTGGGTAGGAAGCTGGGACAGGGGCAGTTCGGGACGACGTTCTTTTGCAGGCGCCGCGCCAGTGGGGGGAAGTTCGCGTGCAAGTCTATTCCGAAGCGGAAGCTTTTGTGCAAGGAGGACTACGAGGACGTGTGGCGGGAGATTCAGATAATGCACCACTTGTCGGAGCACCCTCACGTGGTTCGCATCGAGGGCGCCTACGAGGATTCCTCAGCCGTGCACCTCGTCATGGAGCTCTGCGAGGGCGGCGAGCTCTTCGACCGGATAGTTCAGAAGGGCCACTACAGTGAGAGACAGGCGGCGAGATTGATAAAGACCATTGTTGAGGTTGTCGAGGCTTGTCACTCGCTTGGAGTCATGCATAGGGACCTTAAGCCTGAGAACTTTCTCTTTGACACTGTTGATGAGGATGCCAAGCTTAAAGCTACTGATTTCGGGTTGTCAGTTTTTTACAAGCCTGGTGGGTTGTGGTTTGAACTATGTGTGTGCTTGTTGCTACAATCTTTTGCTGAGGTTATGTGATATTGTGGGTGCTGTATATCCCTTTTTTAGCTTTTTTGGCTTCTAAATATGGGAAGTAGGTGGGAAGGTTGTTGATCTGATTGGAGGTGGGTGTATGGAAGGATGGATTCCTTATTCCAAGTTAACTTTTGGGTCTTCAAATTTCTGTGTGTTTGGAAGAGCATCTGATAGAAAATGTTTTGACAAATTAGTTTCTATCTCTAGCTCAGAGATATCCTGTGTTCACCTCTAAAAATCTGTCAACTTTTTTTTTTGGGTGGAATGGGATTTTGTTTGTTTGTTTTTTAATTTGGTGAGAAAGGGTCTGGTTATATTGTTGGTTCGGTGGTTTTACTTCAAACTAGTGGGCTAATGACAATTTTCACTCCACTTCCGTAGAAAAGCCTATGGCAATCTTGGATGGGCTTACTCTAATGTGTGAGAGTGTGGATGGTTTCTCTCCGTTGTTTAGTGTTTTGGTTTCTAAATTTAGCAAGTGGGGTGGGGAGATTGTTGCTCTGATTGGTGGTGGATTGATGAATTCCTTATTCCAAGGTTTATTTATCTCTTGGGTCGTTAATGTTCAGGGTTTGACAGTTCGTGTGTAAGAAAGAGTATTTGTTATGAAAGGTTGGTCTTTTAAATGGAATTTTATTGAGAGGCTAATATCTGGTTTCGGCTAAGGATATCTGGGTTCACTCCAAAAAAAGCAAAAAGAAAATACATTTCACCCGTTTTATTTTTTAAATGAAATTGGGTGATTACTTTAAAAAGAAATTGGCGATAAAGGGGTCTGTTAGGTATGATTGTGCCATCTGGATGCGTGATTGGGGAGGATGCTTTTTGGAATTTATTGTGATATGGCGGTTGCTGATTGGATGGAATTAAAGAATCTATGGGGTGTGGGGATTAGTTGTGGTTGCTTGTGGTGTGTGTTTGCTTTTGAAATGTGATCAATTTGAGAAGAGAATATAGCCTTCCCTTTTCAAGGGGGGGGGGTGGTCACAAGTGATTTCCCATGGTGGAACCTGGAAGAATATAGTCCACTGATGTCGTGTTTGATGTAAAGATTCCTAGACTTTCGTGTCCTTGTTTTCTCGACATGTCAATTAAATTGAACAATGGACCTCGTTGTTGTGTGAAAAATCCTATTGGGCACTGAAGAACGAACTGGATTAGTTTATCTGAGCAGGGTTAAAAGATGTAAAAAAGGTGCACTTATACCTGTTTCATCATGGTGCAAATTAAGAATGAAGAAAAGTATTTGTTAGTAAAATGTACTTAGAAATTGAAAATTTAAGTACAAGTTATGCAGTCTCATCTTACAGTTACAATTCATTTTTTCTACCTTTCTTCATTCAGTCATTGTTAGATAAACTATAAGTGGTTTCATGCTATGTATGTCCCTGCTTAACACAGTTAGATGCTTTTCAGGTGAATCCTTTTGTGATGTTGTTGGGAGCCCATACTATGTTGCACCAGAGGTCTTGCGCAAGCTCTATGGGCCTGAATCAGATGTGTGGAGTGCAGGGGTTATTCTGTACATTTTATTAAGTGGGGTGCCACCATTTTGGGCTGGTAAATGTTAAATTAATAGTTGGTGATCTTAACATGGTTTTCGATTCTTCATTCATAATATTGATCTGCAAATTGTTGCCTTCAGAAACTGAACCAGGGATATTCAGACAGATTTTACTAGGAAAACTTGATTTTCAGTCTGAGCCTTGGCCTAGCATATCAGACAGTGCCAAGGATCTAATTCGGAAAATGCTTGATCAAAATCCAAAAACCAGGCTTACAGCACATGAAGTACTCCGTAAGTCACTTAAACTTCTCACTGAGCAAGTAACATTATTGAGTTAACAATGTTACTACAAAAATTCTTAGAATGGCTTAACAGCTCTAAGATGTCTTTCTCTGTTAGGCCATCCTTGGATTGTTGATGACGACATTGCACCAGATAAACCTCTAGATTCTGCAGTTTTATCACGCCTGAAACAATTCTCTGCAATGAATAAACTGAAAAAGATGGCATTGCGTGTAAGGCTTCCTTAGAACTTTTTGCTTAAGGCTAGAGAGTTTGTGTTTGTCGAAATTACGAGATTTTTTATATTGAGAGGAAGAGAGATAAAAGATAATGAAAAAGATGCTACAATGTATTGATGTTGTTTGGTATGTTTAAAAAATCCTAGTGTGCTAACCTTATTTATATCGATTATAATGCTTATTAATTACGAAAACAAATCATAATCAGATAAGGAAACATGGTATCTATAATTATATCTTCTAAACATGTTATCTTCTACAATCAGATGACATGGACAACTATATGTAGAAGATAATAGAAGATATGATAAGTACTTTAAAAATAATACATTTGGTTCTATTAAATTAGTTGATAATGTAAATATATTTATACAGACAGTATCAATTTGTTCATTATATTTTCATTGGGAGATTAAAAACAAACTGGAGGATTTTTTAATAATAAATATCATTAATGCCTTTTACTTGGTTTTATTTTGGTTAAAAAAAGTAAATAAATAAAGATGAACTCTCACTCTTGATCACCCTTACCAACAAGGCAAGGCCAAGATTGGAATCAAACAATTGCATTATGTCCCAATGGATTTCTCAACAGCTATCATTGGTTAGATACACTTCATCGATACGAAGGCTGCTTTTTACTTGTATATTGAATCGGGTTATATACATGCGATTTGTGTTCTGTTTCTTAATTTCAGTTCTCTGTTTTGACTTATGAATTCTATGTTGTTGGATTGAATATGGACCGTGAGACAGCCTTATCCTTATTATTACATGATTTTCTTATCTATGATTATGATCCTTAAGATTGGAAGACAAGGCTTGCAGAGGTTCAGTTCTGAAGGAACTTGAACCATTCTTTGCATGGAAGTCTTGGTTGCCTTGCTTCAAGTAGGGAATACAAAGGTTGGAAAGCCAACATAAATAGATATTGAAAGAAGTTTATTTACATTCCTTTTAAAAAGTTGTGATTTTTTTTTTCATAGTTGGTATGCTCAGTTTTTCATTAAATTAAGACAGATCAGCAAACATGGATACTATGCAACCTTAGTCTGAACTTCAGGGAATCATTATGTTATCTGTAGTTCGTAAAACATTAGACTTCATAAAGTGTTCCTGAAAAGTAGAAACTGATACACTTCTTAGTCTTCTGCATGTCATCCTAATACCACAACATTTATACTTTTGCTTGCTTAATCCTAGGTTATTGCTGAGAGGCTATCTGAAGAAGAAATTGGTGGCCTGAAAGAGTTATTCAAGATGATTGACACTGACAACAGTGGAACCATAACGTTTGATGAGTTAAAAGATGGCTTGAAGCGAGTAGGATCTGATCTTATGGAGTCTGAAATCAAGGATCTCATGGATGCTGTAAGAATTTTTTGATGAATGCTAATTAGAGCAACACTTCTCAACATAGGACATGTTTGGATACAAGTTAGAAGTTGTTTCGAGAGTTTCTATTCTGAACAAAAAATATACCTTTTCTATGTAGAGAAGCTCTTCAAAGCTCTAAAAAACACCTTGAGTGTAATATCCAACTAGACTCATACTGTAATCAAGTGAAATCTATCTGGGTTGACCAAAATAGGATGGGAACTGACTAAGGATCACAGGAATTTCATCAAACAATAAAGTAGTATTTTCAAAAGGGTTTTGTTGTTTGTTCATGACTTGGGACTCGGGTATTATTTATCTATCTATTACTTTGGACTTATCTCGGCACTGGTTAGTCATCATGACTTGGCTAATCCTTGTCTGATTTTAGCATTTCTTTTGGTAAATTCTGTCTTACTTTAGTCCATTTTCATGCTGCTTTGCTTTTAATCTTGACATAAGATCTTATTATAATGGCATGGAACAGGCAGATATTAATAAAAGTGGAACGATTGATTATGGTGAATTCATTGCCGCCACTGTTCATTTAAACAAGCTGGAGAGAGAGGAAAACCTGGTATCAGCCTTCTCATATTTTGACAAGGATGGCAGTGGTTACATAACCCTTGATGAGATACAACAAGCTTGTAAGGACTTTGGTTTAGATGATGTTCATATTGATGACATGATCAAGGAAATTGATCAAGATAATGTAAGTATTCCATGTCTTGCTATTGTATGTTTTCTTGTAATGAGGCATAAAATTTCCAAAGTTCATCTTGTACTGTGTCTGTCGGTGCCAAGTTATTTGTTGGGGGTATTAATGGAAGGTTTTTGGTGCAGGATGGGCAAATAGATTATGGGGAATTTGCTGCCATGATGAGAAAGGGCAATGGAGGAATTGGAAGGCGAACTATGAGAAAAACAATAAATTTAAGAGATGCTTTTGGATTAGTAGACAATGGGTCAACTCAAGTTATTGAGGGCTACTTTAAGTAACTTCTTGGAGACAAAATTGACAAAAAATAAATTAGTAAATTTCTACCTTGTTTGTAGCTTCTTGACCCAATTTTGTTATCTATTAATAGACCCATCTTTATTAGAAAGTCTTCAGCTTGATCTTGATGAGGTCCATGACAAATCTAAATGATTCATACAACAAATTGAACTTTTTTTATTAATCAACAACCATAATTGTGGTTGATGCATGGACAACAAGTGTTTGATTAGACAGTGGTAGTTGTTAGGCATTCATTACTAAGATAACAAACCCCTTCAGAAAGTATCATGTCATTTTTTCCACAAGATATCATGCCATTAGCACACTATTAGGATCACTTAAAATTTATACCAGTTATTATTGTAAAGATTTTAAATCACTCTCTGCAATACATGGTATTAAATGTTACATCAAAAGTGTATTAAGACTAATGAAAAAATGGTGATTTCGAGAAAATTAAGAAGAATCCATCCTTTCTCATCCACCACTCTGTTTAAGGTTTTAAGATAGGATAAGGGTGGAAAGGAAAGGGATTAGTAAAATCATCATTTTCTTTCATAGCAGAAGTCGTCATCATGAATTATGTAATCACATGAAAGAGGAAAATGACTCAAAAATGCCCTGGCACCTGGGGCACCCACTTATCCTATTTTCCACCAAAACATGACATAAATTAGAGAAATTTGAATCTCCATATAATTGTTCTCTTGGAGGAACCATGTTTCCTGAAGAAGATAAGGAGAAAACTAGCCATGAATGTCATGTAGGCTAAATTATCAAGGTGTTTTCTTGGCAATGATTAAGGTTATATCCAATTCAACTTAATCTAATCTATTTCTTTTATTAAGGTGTTTTCTTGGAATGCTTACATGTTAATTAATAAATTTGCAATGCTCATTCCATATAATTATGATTGAACTCAAGAGACAAAAGTACATGATAAGTGATAGCAAGTTGGTTAAAGATAAAGTTAATCATAAAAAGTAAACTCAGCAAGAACAAACCTTGTAGGCCACTTGACCTCACTAGTATATCTATTCTTGTCATATGGGCAAAGAATATGACCACAAATGAATCAATAATAGTAGAGACACATAAACCATTTTTCAAAAGTGATTCCTTTTCAAAGTGGTGAGTAAGGAATTGATAAATCAATAACCATAAAAGGAAAAACAAATACATATCACATCTCACTTTATATGCTTCCAAATGCTACTGAGGTTCATTCACCGAGTCAGGTGATGAGTGTTTAGAATATGCAAAGAAAAAAACATGTTCCATGCTGATTCTCATTGTGATTAAGTGTTTAAAAAGAGAAAAAGATAAATTCCACTAACCCGGAAACATTCTTGAATAAACCAAAAATGTAAATGAATGGTGTAGTGTAGTGATTGATACAAGAGTGTAGTGTAGTGATTGATACAAGGATAATATCGATTGAAAAAATAAAATCAAATTAGTACTAAAATCAATTATAAGAAGAAATTAAAAAAAGAAGAAGTTATTTAGCTTATGAAAATTAAATTAACATGTGTGCTTAATTGCCAATTATATATAAAATATCTGTAATATTTTAGCACAAGAAGAGGACACTATAATACTAGTATATTTTAAAAGAAAATGCAATTTGTTCTATATTTTAACATGAGAGGTGAAAAATGTACATCTTAAGAGGAGTGTCATTTATTTTAAGAGTACTTTAAATAGATTAATAATGAAGAAAGTGTGGATTCTTCAAATAATACAAAAATGAAAATTCCTAAAATATAAAAGATGGTTGGAAAACATGAATTATAGAAAAAATATAAAAACTAAACAAAAGTCTAAATATTAGCAAAAAAAATGTAACGAATAACAAGATCATACTATTAATATAATAAATCCCTTTTTAGTATTCTAATTGAACCTAAAAAGACAAAAAAATTAAAATTAAAATTCCCAAATAAAACACCTCGAGAGGTAGAACATAGAATATTATTTTTGTGGCAAAATAAGAAAAAACATATTTTTACAGTACATTACTGAAATGTTAAATCTTAAACGCCTTTAATATCTTTCTTCAATTGAAGTTAATGCTTCACCATATAATAAAAATGAATATTAAGTATTGGAGTTAATTACCAAAACATACTCTAATTTCAATAAAAAAAAAATCATATAAAAAGTATGTAAGGTAATTGTTGAAAGAATCTTGAAGTGAAGATGGTAATTAAATAACTCTCCTCAAAATAGCATGTGTTACAACTTGGTAAAAAAAATAATAATAATAATTAGAAGAAGCCAGACATTGGTATATAATAATCATGTCAAAATTATAATTTCTCACTCGCATAAGGAGAAGCCAGGGGAAACAAAAAAAGCAATTCTGGCTCACTGTAACCTGGTTTTGCACGTGGTGATGGATGCAAATAAAATCTCCTCTCTTTGATAGCTTTCTCTTCTTCTTCTATGTTCAACTCAGGCTTCACAAACTCTTCTTTCCTTTCATGTTCCAGAATAGTCAACTGAGAGAACAAGGTTGAAGGGGTGGTGGGGCTTGGAAGAAGGCTTGAACACCCTGATCTAGGACTTGGAGAAAAGCTAGAACTTCTTGACTTCGAGGGTGACAAACTTGAACCGTTTTTGCCATGAAAAGTGGGTTTAACAATCTCAAGTTTTGGCTTCATGGATTTCCTTCTCTCATGGAGTTTTGAGGTTGTCCTTTTGATAGTTGAAACCTTTCCTGCCTCCCCTTCTTTTGCTGCACTTGCTTCTGAGGGACCTGTTAAACGTTGTACTACTTCCCTGAATGCATCTGAGTTTGTCTGAACAAAGGTGGTTAGTGGTTTGCAATCTGATGCTGCACCATGGACTGGTCGCTTCTCCATTCTCATCACTACATTTGACAATAAGATTTACAATCACTTAGTATATGATCACCTGCAATATTCATGATTGATGATTAAAGTAAAAAAATTCATGTGTGCACTTCAGTCACAATATTGTATGTGTTTTAAAAATAGTTTTCTCAAAAGTCATTGTAATGATGATTTATGATTAATCGACAGAATAAAAACTTTTACTTGACATACATATGCCCCTTAAATCAAACTTGCATTCAACAGAAGGTGGAAATCAGATAGAAAATAATTCATGGCATAACAAATGAAACTGACAATTACCATTATATGGTATGTTTTGATAAGTAGTTATTTCCAGAACCAAAATAGGAAAAAACAAAAACCCTTCAGCAAAGAGTTTTATTTTATGAGAAAAGAAGGTTCATGAAGAGGTTATATATATTAAAATATGATTTGAGATCCATGGATTGACATATTGTAGCTGAGGGCTGTGAACATATACAGACTTAAATAATTCGATGACTCATGATGACCCACATATCCTTTCAGAATGAGAAAACCAAATGTTTTCTGTCCTGTCCATAGCATGTCATATCAAATAATTCTGAGAATGGGGTATGGCTAACAACTTAGATTAAGAGTATTTCTTAGAAGTTGTGTCCATAAACACGGGACATGTATGTGAAACTCCACAACATACAAATGTCCCTCAATAATGTTCTAGGTGGAGGGTGCATTTATTCAACCAACCCGTCAAAAACATGGTGAATTGTGTTTTTCTTACAATAGGATGTGAATGAGATTTTGCAGCTCAAAACACTTCATGCCTAACTGTCTATTACCTGGTTTACCTGTTTCTCATTGACTCTTAAGGTCTTAGAGTTGGACTTCTCTGTTTTTTTTTTCCTCTCTTTGATCTCTCATTTATTGACTGAAATTGATAACTCACAAGTTTTGCCAGGGAGCACAGAACAACTTTTAACTTTTTTTACCTCCAAACAGGTAACTCACAAATAATGTTAGTTTTATGTTTTCTATAAGGCTCCAGCTTGAGAAAAATGCATCGCATGAAACTTCAGCACAATGTAAAACTACCAAGTTCTATTCTCTTATGTTTGAACAAACACTAACATTGATTGAACACAAAACTCAACCTCATCGAAAGGAAAAAACTTAAACAGTTTTTAGTACTGTTCTTTAATTAAAATTGAAATTTACCCGCATAATAAACATCCATATCAAAGGTCAACAACACAAGTTCTCCACATTAAAATTTAGTTTTGATTAAACACTACCACAAGCATCAGAGAAACTGCATGAAAGTTTTCTCTTTTGATATTAAAGGGAAACAAAGAGCAGTATTATTATCTACACAATTTCCCACCGCAATATAAAGAACCCCACCAATTCAAACTCTTGAAACACAATCAACAAAGCTTTCATGAATCAAAACCGTGTGATAAAACAGCACATGTCAAACTTCCAGAAAGCCGTAACCAAGAAACGAGGAAACAGAAAATGATGAGAACATGCTCTAGCCTACCGAAGTTGGTTTGATGGTAGAAAAACAACGGTGCTGCGTTCTTGAATCTTAATATGCAAAGAAGAAAATGAGTTGAGAAAGAAAGGAAAGGAAGAGGAAGAATAAAAAGTGTGAAAGAGAGGGGTATGGGAAGTGAGTGCAGTTAAAGATTTCTGGTACAAAGGTTGGAAACCAGTTGGGACAGAGAATCTCTGACCTCAGAAAGTAGTCCTACCATTAGCCTTGCCACATCAACTATCTGTTGTAAAGGGCAATGTACCCTATCACTTTCCTTCTAGTTACTGCCAAAAATGGATTGCCTTAACTCAAATTCAAAGAAAAAACAATGATTCTAAAGAGAGACACAAGTTGAGCATTTTTACCTTTTTTAGGATAACTGTCGTATACAAACCAATAACCACCATCTGTCTACGACCATTTATTTTGGAATGTTATCTGCCCAATTCACCTTAAAAAGGTTACAGCCTACCAAACCACAACTACGGTAATTTAGCATCACTGTATATTTTGTTTTGGTGTTCATCTGTTACCATTATTTTTATAAGAAAAGATTCATTGTGGAATGTGCTAAATATTTTACCAAAATACCCCATAAATAAAAATATATTAGTTAAAATAGGCAAAACAGATTAAGAAAAAAAATATGTCAATGGTTTTGAAAAATCCTAAAAATTATACATTTTTGTAATAAGTTTAATACATACATCGAAATTTATTAATTTTTGTAAGGTGGTTAAAAGGGTCTTGTACATGGTTACCAGAATTGGTAGCTTTTTTTCTTGGTAGCGTGAACGTATGTATTTTTGCTTCATGCAGGATGAAGTTACTTCTCAAGGGAAAAAACGTCCAGGTATAATATAAACCACAGTTACACTCAATGCTAACTAAATATTTTACCTCAAAAATTTGAAAATCACAGTTACATTTTTGTCGAACAGCAAACCTATTAGATTTATGTTCATACCCTTCACAAAAACCATTGATAACCTAAGTGGTGTAAGCCACTTCATCTAAATTTGGTGCTATACATAAAATCAATCACATTGAGTTCTGGGGGTCTTCATTCTTCAACTGAGAACAATCACTGTCCATTTATCTTCTGTTTATTTTTCTGTATTTATCCTTTTTGTCTGCAATGTGCAACACCCTATCATCAGCTACCATTAAACTTGGTTTCTGGATGAGATAGGGAGTACTTTTCCATGAGCTTGGCTAGCTCATCGTTAAAACTTTCTTCTAACTGCACCTTTTCCTCCCAGTGCCTCCGCGTCATTGTAGCAACATTGTCTTTATGTGCTTCACGGAGCTTCTCCACTTCAGCAACAAAGTTTTCCATTTCTTTATCTTGAAACTCAACAAATTCTAGATATATGTCCACCCTATCATCCAAAGAAATCAGATTTTATTGTTGGCCAATGAAATGAAAAATTTTCGTAGTAATCTCAAGAAATGGCAAGTCCTTACTTGACTCTCTCTTCCTCTTCATTTAGAGGGCTAGAACTTGATGGCTTCACCTTCTCACGTTTATCCTGCTGTATCCTCTCAAACTCTTCTTCTTTTGCAGCCCTTGAATCATGGATGATTCTGATCTGGTCCTTGAAAAATTGTTCTTGCATGTACATCTTTCATTTAGAAATTATCCAATGGTCAGAAAAAAATCAAGAAAGAAAGAAGAAACATTTCATAACCTAGAAAAAAAAACAGTAAGGAACCACCATTTACTAAATCGTTTCAAGAATATTTGCTGTGTTACTGAAAAACTATAGAAAACATCCTCTTTGAGAGAGATCAAATAGCCAAATGGTATCTTTTCTTCCTTGCAAAGCCAAATGCATTTTTGACATCAGTCTAAACCACCAAAGAGTTTGTCACTGCCAATTGTTAGTATTACCTCTTCCTTGTTCTCTTCGTGTTGCATTTTAGTTCTCAACCTCACAATGCGATTTTCCTCTCTTGTCCTTCGCAGCTTCTCAGTTACCATACCCAGAGATTCTTCAAGAGCTTTTGTTTGTTTTTGTTTTTTAACATCCCTGTCCTGCAAATAACTAAGTAGCTGGTTGTCCTCATGCATTTGCCGAAGTTGGTTTACAACCATCTCCTGGTATGATCTCATGTCATATTTGAGTCTAGATTTACCTGTACACAATTTCGGATAAAACGAGACCCCAATAGAAAAGTCAATATGCTGTCTCCATAGAAGACATAAAAAACCAACAGTATATGAAGGTAATGAACTGAAAAAGAGAGAAAAGGAAACCTTGGCAGTGTCTGTTGAAAAAGTCCAGGTCTTCTTTTCCTGCCATGTATCCATAGAGCTGTCTTCGGCCACCAGGAAGAAATAATCTACGGTAGTGGCTGAACCAAGCATCTCTGTCAGTTCCTTGTGCTGCAAAGTGCTTGTGGAGACGCTCAGCCCCAAGATAACCTATAGCTGAGGCTTCAAATATCAAAACACTCAACCCTCGATGACCCTGGGGGCCATAAGAATGTCGAGCTTTCACAGCATTGTAGGTGCTAAAATAATTAAGAAGTTCTTGATTACCCATACCTAGCCACTGCATACAAAGAAGAAAATAAGGATGCAACACAAAATCCAGAAATATTTTAGGAAAATTAACCAATTAAGAATGTATATACCGAAAAGGGTTACTGGTCTTCTGAAGTTATCCGACCATTTAGCCGCCGACATGTTCATTGTGTATATCAGATATACCCGAAAAGATTCTTCTGAATAGCTGTAGAATGAACATGTCAATGACCAAATGGTGAGATAGCTTACCCTTGTCCGTTATACCTGAAAATAATACTATTATCACCAACTGTTCATCATTTGATGCTAACAAGAAAAAACACTTGTACCTTGTCATTTTCATCCTGTTCAAGCCTTGTATTCTGAATGACAACCATTGGAGGCCAAACAATTTCATGATCTTTCTCCTCATCTTTCAAACCTTTCCACTTACCAAATACTTCCCCTGGCGGAATCACTGCAGTACCTCTTCTGCGCAATTCCTCATCCAAAATCTCAGCAAACTCCCTGTGGATCTTCACCCTTTTTGACCCCTTTGCTTTGGCATGAGTCATCAGAGACTGAATCCCTCTGTACCAATCAATAGCACCAGGACCACCTCGACAAGCCGGACAGTGCCACTGCCTTTCTGGTTCATTGATCGTTTCAATAGATAGGCTATCCAAATTCTCAAAGAAAGCCTTAAACCATTTATTCTTCTTACGAATCTCATGGCTCTTTTGACTAGTATCAGACTCATAATCATCACTCATTACATCATCATCAGTATCTTCCATGGCATCAAAGCCCTCCTCCCCCTCTTCATCAACACTACCATCATTCTTCACTGGGGACCCTTCTGTAATCTCATCCTTTACCATGTTATCATCAACACCCCAGGGCTGCTTGGAACCAGTTCTAGATTGCCAATTCCACCCATGCTCCAGGGGAGGTTGAATTAGAGGGCTCGAAGTCACATTGCTGCTTTCAGATTCGCTCGAATTTAACTGGGGCCTTGCATTTCCTCTACCAGCAGGTCTATTGAAGTTAGCATTTTGGGAATGCAAAGGATTTCCACTTCCAGAACCAGAAGCCCTTCCAACTTTTCCATCTTTCCCAGTAACCGGCTTGTGAGCCATCTCTGGATTTCTCACTACTCTAGAATTATGAACCGGAGGACTCCATGGTTTTGCAGCACCATTTTTGGCTCTATTCTTGGATTTCCTTGAATATACCACCCATTCACCATCATCTTGTCCTGACTCTAGGTTGACGCCAGTAACATCTTCTGTTAATTGCTCAATTTTTGGAAGAGATTCCAAAGCATTTTTCCCTTTGGAAGAATCATCATCTTTGATTGCCATAGTGGAAGATTTCCCTCCATTTTTTGAACTCATTTTCTGTAACACTAGTTATTATCACTAGTCAATTATCCACCAAAAAAAAAAAAAAATAGAATTCATAATGCTCCTAAAGAACCACGAAACCAAAGTAGAGGCTTGGCATAAAAAACTTCATACTAACAGTGAATCAAAATTAAGCATTCTATTATTTTATACAGCATATAAACTATTAATACTAATATAAAACACCTATGATGCCCAAACAAACCTTTTCATTTGTCTTCAGCTTAATTAAGTTTTTTAGTATTATCATCACCACACACTAACACATTATTTATTTATAACAATTAAATTCACTGAGTCTGCATGCATGACTAGTTAGAGTGACACCATGTTGGTTACTTTCAAGTTAGCATAGTAAGTTACCTTGCGAGGTTCTCTTTCACATAAGATAAAGAATACTGAGATACTGATATACACAATATAATCTGCGGTTGATTGAGTTATGCACTATTTTTTATCTCTCTCCTTAAATACTGTGTGAACCATGTCCATAAAAATAAAATAATTAATGGTTCTTGTAATTTTAAGATGATTACTATAAACGTTAAAAAACTTTTCATCTTCAGAGAGAAATTCAAAAATTTATCATAATTATTTGCTGTAATGATTTAATTACATTCTATAGAAATAAAAAAGAAAGTTTTTTTTTTTTTTTAACTCTAACAGTAAACGAAACTTTGTGTGTATAATTAGCTGCACAATAGCCTATTTTTAGTTAGATTCAGTCAGCTAATTTTTCGGGCAGTTTGTCGGCTAAGTTCTGAGTATATAACTTGACGTGTCTGACCTATGAATGAGAGAATTTCCTTTTATGCATAAATTGGTATCCAGTCGTATATATAAAATAACAAAAAGTAGAAGAAGAAGAAGAAGAAGAAGAAGAAGAAGAAGAAGAAGAAGAAGAAGAAGAAGAGTAGTGAAATATGAGAGTAGAGAGAAAGTGAAGAGGAAGATGGGTTAAGACAGAATGTTGGAGAGGAAGAAACAATGGATGGTACCTCAGAGAGAGTGAGAGATCCAAAGGCGATCGCGGGTTGTTGCGAAGCAGACGAAAAGTGGTGAGTGAACTCCACGTTGACTTCCTCTTTCTCATATGTTGTCGTCGTGTTTTCGGACTTCAAATTTTTATCAAATTTTACTTTGCGTAAATTTTCACGTGCGCCATAAATTTTAGCGCTGTCAGATCCACCAATCATCTATTACAGCTAAGAATCTAACCCCCTTTACCTGTTCAATCAAATTGCATTTTATTCACTTGTAAATATACATAATAACCTTATATAAATTTAATTTAATTAAACTTATATAGAAATTTCTCTCAACTGGTAAAAAAAACGAGACAAGAGACTTTAATATTAATTCGTTTCTAACACTAAAATTACATCAAAATTTTCAAATCTCTAAATTTGATTAAAGATTCATTATTATCATAAATAATGTCTGCAATTACCCTTGTCCGTAACATTTATATATATATATATATATATATATATATATATATATATAGACTGTTGTAAAAATAATAACTAGAAGAATTATTTACAACATCTATATATATATATATATATATATATATACTTTCAATCTTAATAAAAATATATCAAAATATTTTAAATAAATAAATATAAATTGTAAGATCTCTGAATAAATACTAAAAAAAATATAATATAAAATATACCCAAGTTTGAACAGTAGATAATGATTAGTAGGTAATTAGATGTTTTTTATTCTTATTAATATTTATATGCGAGTAATAAATAAAAATATCGTACAGTTCTAATTAAAGAAACTATCATTGTCCAATTTTTTTTATATAAACTGTATGGGTTAAGGTGTATAAACACTTGTTTAATGATCTTCGTAGAAAATTAATATTCAAAATAAAGTTTTAACTAATTTTTTATATAACGCTACTTTTTACATTCTAATAAAAAAATTATTTAAGTACTACCTTGTATTGTTATTTTTATTTTAACATTTTCCATATTTTCATACAATTATGTATAAAAATTGATCCCTAATTTTATTATCTTCACTTAATTTTTGCTTTTAAAGGTTATAGTAGTTGAAATGAAAATTAGTACGTAACTGTCTAATATTGTTTATTTTCTAAGTAAACCAGAATTCGGATGGCAATCTTCTTACCTATTACATCTGAAAAAACATTAAAATTAAATATATTATAATAAAAAAATTATTTCAATTATAATAAAAAAATTATTTCAATTATAATATTTGGACTGTATCCGACCGGTTTTATTTAGATGAAGTTACCGGTTGTAACTAGATTTATTTGAATAGATTAGAATTAGGTTTTTTTAACAAGATTATTTGAATTGGAAAAAAATCGGGTTTTTTTAGTCTGACCAAAGTAGGCTTATTTCAACTGGACTAGGTGTATTATTTTTTAAACCCAATCAAATCAGTTTTACTGTGAATTGTTTTATTTTTAAAACCCAACAGAAGTTATTTGAACCCAACTGAACCGATTTTTTTTTTTTTAATTAAACCACAAATTGGTTTTATTTGAACCAAAACCTAGACTAATTTTAACTAAACCCGAATTGCTTTGTACTTGAATCGAATCAATAATCATTTTCATTCGAACGAATCCCAGGCTAATTTTATTTCAACTTAGACCGATTTTATTTGAACTGAAATGGAAACCAATATTATTTGAACCAAAATGGTGAATGGGACTGGACAGATTTTATTTTTAACCAAATCGAATTCAATAAACAACTTCTTTTAATCAAACTAAAACCCTGTTGGAGAGGAGTATGCTGATCTTTGGCGTAAGAGTTGCCAATGTTTTCAAATCAATTTCTAAAAAAAATAATTTATCATTGAATTTTCCAAAAAAAATAAAAATAGTGACGCAGTCATTAAAATAGTTTATCATTAAATTTTTTAGGTTAAATATATTTTTCATCGTCACATTATTTTTGAAAAATATATTTTATGCATGTTATAAAATATGGATGTATTGGTTTATATAAACAATGCAAATAATATTTAGTAGTTAACCATTTATCATATGACGTACATGAACAACATGAAAAGTATGTTAACGTTACATGTATTAAAATAGAATAAAATGAGTTGAAGATTAATATTTATTTAAAATACAAATAAAAATAAAACTTGAGAAACTCTAGTTTTGTCTTGTTAACTTCCGCTGTTACTCTCCTTTTCCATATTCAGGTGATATTCTTTCCTTTCTCAATGGGTTTTGTTTCAATATTGTATTCTTATCCTTTTTCAAAAACATCCATTTTCCAATATGATGATATACAACAAGATTGAAACCATTTTGCAGTTGAATTACAAATTTCCTTCAACAACAATTCATGACAACGAAAGTTGATGCGCGAGCTGGTAGTAAGAGGAAAGCGTGAATCCTCTGCAGAATGGGAGAAATGATTGTTGGAGAAAAATGAATAGTTATGGGAAGTTGGTGAAAGAAATGGAAATATGAAGTGTAGGAAATGATGAAAGAAGTGTATGCTACAAAAAGTTAACTTGGGGTGACAACAGAGCTATTGATTGATCAACGCAAGTGATATAACACAAGATCACTTTTTTGTTGCTGTCATGGGTTGACCTTTAAACAAAGTAAACCAAACGCAAAGAAAACAAGAAATGGGAAGGTAAGAAGTTGATTGATGATGCAAAAAGTGCAATGGACATCAAAGAATGATGACTATGAAGGAATCATAACTTAAAAAGGGAGACATAGTGACAATGACACACCAAAACCTCAAACCCCTGAATTGGTTCCATGCTATCTTCCCTAATAAACTTCCTCTTCACAAAATTTAAATCAAATTAAAATAATCGTTTAAAAACTAAGACAGAAACAAATCACACTCTAAATGAAATGACACGTGTATATTTATACACTGCCTAGAATAAAACTCTATTTGTCATGAAAAATAATTATTTTCTTGTTTCATATAAATATAAGAAACAAATAAATTTATATTTTATAAGAGGGATGAAATATGATTTTCAAAAATAGTTAAATAACGAAATTTATATTTCTGTATAATTTACTTAATCTGCTTCACTTTGTTCATATCATGACTTGTAAAAAAAATTCAAAATTAGTTATATTTTTTATAATTAATAAAAAATGAAAGATATATTAACAAGCTAAGTAATATTTTTATAAAATTAAAAATATTAATTTTATTTTTCAATATATGCATCAAAACCTTAGATGTTGTATAAAAATAAACTAAAAAGTTTAATTTATGGAAAAAAAATTAACCATATATTTTTTTATCATATGAACATATATTACAAGAGTTATGAACATATAAAACATCTAATTAATATATATATATATATATATATATATATATATATATATATATATATATATATATGTATATATAAAGTTAATGTAAGATGGTTTTACGGGGACAGCATAACTAGCAAATATCGATGTCTTAAATATAATTGATCCTATAAATGTAATTGGAGAATTGTTAAAAAAAAATTAAGAAATCAATTACACTTGACACATACCAATACCATAATCAATGATCATATGCATATTTATTTGCTCATTATTCGAGTATATCCCTATGTAGTTAACAAATAAAAAACCAGGAATAAACACTGCCAAAGAATGGTTACATAAAGAATCAAAAGAGAAAAGAATGGTTACATGATGCAGGGCTAAAACTGGCTCCAAGAATTCAACACTAATTTCACTCTGCTGCATCATAAACAGGAATACACACCAACTAATCTTGCATCAAAAGGGGTGATCACGTCCTTTTGCCGTTTCTTGACAAAGGATGTCTTGGAACTCAATATTAATGCTAAAACATTGTACAACATAAAGGCTTACTGATCCAACGCGGCATGTTGGTGCTGCCAAAGATTTTCAAGCTCAGTTTTTCCAATCCCTTCTTGGACAACAGAATGGTATTCTTGCTATTGAGCTATTCATATTGGGATCCTTAAGGCCAACCTGGTATCCATAAACAGCCGGGGAAATGACAGCAACAACTATTCGAAAGTGTCAAGATTTTTGCAGAACATAAAAATGACACCTACAAAACTTGCCATTTACATCATTTTCATCTAATTATGATAGGTGGTCATGTCTTGTAATTTTTTGGCATTATTTCGTTGGTGAGATAGTCCGTATCCTCGCAAGTTGAATATTCGCTACTATTTCTGTTTAACAAATATGCTCCACATGTTTTTTGTAATCAATTTTTTATCTTAACGTATAGAATACTCCGATTGACAGCTCCATAATTATTGCTTCCTGCTCTTAAGGTATATAGCTCCTTGCAGAAGTTCAACTGCTCTGGGATGAATCAACCTGACTCCAGAGTATATCCGCATATTCCTTCTCCTCTTCCTTCTCCTGTTCAACAAAATTGGTTGTTTCCAGTTCTTCTGGAAGCTCGACATATTCTTCACCATCATCAAGCTCTTCCATCATTTCTTCTTCCGTACGTTTCTCTCTCTCTCGCTCAGCAAGTTCAACCATAACCTCCCTCATAGCCTGCTTTGTAGCTGGCCTATCACTTGATCTATATTTAGGGGCAGGCACAACAAACGGCAGAATTATATCATCTAATTTTGTGCTTTTAACTTTAGGACAGCCATTATTTTCTGTAGGAGGAAAAGTAAATATAATCCCAAGTTCATAATTGCAAATGTGAAGCCCATAATTCACAGAAGAGTCCTCCTTTTTAAGTCCATCAGCTTTTAATCTAAATGGATTTAAAATTTGTCGCCCCCAGGCAGCAGCACTAAAATTGTGAGAACCACAGTATACCCAACCAACGGAAGGTGCGTCCCTCCCAGACCAGAAGCATCTACGCACCACCTGAGCAAACCAATTTCAATCAAATCACTTTAAACATGCATTCGTGATGTGGGGAGGAAAAGCAGAGATTGGTTTAGTAGTCGAGGAGCTAATCACCCAAGTCAAATCCTATATATATATATATAGTATATGGGCATAGATTACGAAAGGAATATGAATTCATATAAGGTTCCTTTGAAATCATGCTCAAACAAAGTAAAAATGCACCAAAAGAAAGTGATAAGAATAAACCACATATCACCAACATATACACCCGCAAGAAACGAACAAAAGAAATAAATATCCTAGACTACCAACAACAGGGCACACAACAATCAAAGGATACAAAACACCAAAAGTTACAACTCATCCAAAGGATATAAAGTCAAGGAATACGAATGAAGAGACATAACCTTGGAATAGAGATACAACCATTAGGAAAAATTGTATAAATTAGGAACGGTTGTTAGAAGTAATATAAATAGAAGTAATCCAAATTAGGAAAGACAAGAAAGAATTGTAATGTGGAGAGACAGACTCTCGAAAACCTGTATTATAAAAATATATCAAAATCATTTTTATAAATTTTATTTATTTTATTAATCCTCTCTAGTTCTTTTCTGTCCATATCAGAAAGACATTAATACACTATAAAATTATGCAATAGAATACAAAGACATGAACAAAAGCTCATTCTACTGACAGATAATGCTGTCCTTTTCCTTAGAAATATCAGTGCCATGTTCAAAGACACAGAACTGGTGCACTTACAGTAGACACAAAAAATGGTGGGGTGGGGGGGTCTAGAACATTGATATTATCACAACAGAAGAAGCCAAATATCTAGCATACTAAATACTGCACTCCATGAAACCAAACAAAAGTAAATAAATAAATGATTCACAAATTAGATATATTATAGCTTCATGGATCCTCATTGCTCGCTACCACTGTTATGGCTTGCATAAACTCAACCCATTTTAAAGATTATAATGACATCAGCAGACTGCACCTGAGAAGATCTGAACCAAAAATATTTCCACCTGTGCTTATGTGAAACCCATTCAAATAACCTAAGCAAACGTTCATAGTTTGATTTGAACCCATCCTACTTACGATTAAAGGATATTATTAGTTGCCAATTTTCCAATCAAAAATAAAGATGACAGGACACAGAAAAGAAAGAGGCACCTGAATCCCCAAAACTCAACTTTTCCTTCATCAACATAAGAGACTTCATCCGTACAGCGTAAATACATAGCATACAACAACAAATGTTTTGAGAATATTCTCCATAACAAGAATGCATACATGATACATGAGTATAAATCATTATAAGGTTAGTTACCTTGACATGCATCGGATGCCCTACTCTTTCATGTGGATGAGGAATAGCATCATGAAGTATATTTAAAGTCTTCAACCTTTGCCAAGATTTCTGTTCAAAAGTAGAAAATCAGTTATGCATTGTTCACACATAATTACAATTTACATCTTCGTACAATGTCAAACGTGACCTTTCCTAAGATAATTTTGAAACGAATTTCTAAAAAAAATCAGTGCAAATAAAAGAGTCATGAGCTAAATGGGATTCACATTCACATTTGTGATAAAAAAGGTTTCAATTCTAACCATTTGAAAATGGGTAGGGATGGGGAGCATATTTTCTGACTCAACATATTCCTTTAAAACAATCCTTTGAAAATGTGTTTTATACATATTAGGAGAGATTAACCCATCTTAAATAGGGACCTACAATTGTCCCGTGCAATTTATGTATGAATGTGTGCCTGTCTCAACGTAACCTGGTCACATAAAAAACTCACTAGAGGACTCAAATCTGTCCTTTTCTCCTTGATAATTGAAAATGCCTTAAAAATATATATTTCTATGGAAAGCTTTTTTTAACGAGGGTACTGGTTATAACATCTAACAATTTCTAAGATTTATGTTTGGATCTAACTTAGATCAGTGAGGGAAGAACTGCCTAAGTTTTATAAGTTTTAAGTCAAACCAATGTAGAAGTAATTCACCACCCTTAAAGCTACAATTAAGTCACCCTCCAAAGATACCCCGCAACTAACTCGTGCTAAGAGTGAGTGATAGTAATTAAGGCGGTTTTCTAACACAAATAATGGTTAGTGTAGGAAATCAAATAGTATTTTAGGAAAGAATAAATCAGGAAATTTGTATATTTCCTTGTAATCTGTACAGATTTGAATAATTAGGAACAATCCCATAAATCAAGGGATCCTAGCATAAAATATAGTTATTATATTTCCTAAAATAGCTTAGGTCTCCTGTATATATCTTATATCGTCTCTTTGTATTGAAATAATATCAAATATATTTCAGTTAATCTATTTTTCAAGATGGTATCAGAGCTTCCGATCTAGGAAGCTCTGTCTGCGCGCAATAAACCCTAAGACGGCAGCCTGCATTGCTGCTGCATTTTTCTTAATCCTAAGACGGCAGCCTGCATTGCTGTTGCATTTTTCTTAACCCTAAGACGACAGCCTGCATTGCTGCTGCATTTTTCTTAATCCTAAGACGACAGCCTGTATTGTTGTTGCATCACACCTCCTTGCTATGATGTCAAGGGAAGAGGAAGTTGTGAATCCAAACCCAGAAACAGGGAATACCCAATCCCAGCAACCTGGAGAACTGCAGAATATTCATTCTGCATATAGACTAAATGGAAGAAATTATTTGAAGTGGGCCCAACTTGTTCGTACAGTGTTGAAGGGAAAGGGGAAGTTGAGTCACCTGATGGAGTCTGGACCTAAACAAGAGGATCCCAAGTTTACTACATGGGATGAAGAAGATTCAATGATCATGGCGTGGCTGTGGAATTCAATGATTCCAGAAATCAGTGACACCTGCATGTTCCTTAATTCGGCAAAAGATATTTGGGATGCTGTAGAGCAAACCTACTCTAAAGCCAAAGATGCTGCTCAAGTATATGAAGTAAAGGTGAAAACTTTGGCAGCAAAACAAGGGAACAAGACTGTTACAGAATATGCCAATCAGCTGAAATCATTGTGGATGGAGCTAGACCATTATAGAGTTATAAAAGCCAAATGTACTGAAGATTCAGCACTTCTCAAGGAGTATATCGAACAAGACAGAGTTTATGATTTCCTTGTTGGTTTGAATCCTGAATTTGATCAAGTTAGGATTCAAATATTGGGGAAGCAAAAGGTACCATGCCTCAATGAAGTGGTGGCTATTGTGATAAGTGAAGAAAGTAGAAGGGGTCTCATGTTAGAGAGTCCCGCAGTAGAGACTTCAGCAGTGGACCATAAAGGAGATCAGACTTTGGCCATGGTAACCGAACAGAAGAAAGGAGGAACAGCAAATGTGGAGAAGAAAGGTGATGGTCTCTGGTGTACCTACTTGCAATAAACCTCGTCATACCCGAGAGAAGTGTTGGAAGTTACATGGGAAGCCTTTAAATCGAGATCGAGAAGGAGGACACAAAGGCGGCTCCTCAAGGAAAGGAGGACAAGTTTATGTTGCTGCTGAAACAAATGAAGGAAATAATCCAGAAGTTGCTGTCCATCTTAATCAAGAGGAGATAGAAAGGGTGAGAACCTTTCTTAGTAAGCTGGAAAAACCCACAGGTGTGTGTTCTTTGGCATACCCAGGTAAGTTTCCATTTTTTTTTGGATTAAATGTCTCAGATACACCTTTTAACCATTATTGGATATTGAACTCTGGAGCCACAGACCACATGACACCATTAGCCAAACACTTCTCCACATATTCCCCATGTCCCAGCAACAAGAAAATTGCCACAGCAGATGGAACCCTTATAACTGCAGCTGGTCAAGGAAATATCCAAATCAATCCTTTAATAACCTTAAAAGATGTTCTCCATGTCCCAAAGCTATCCACCAACCTAGTCTCTATACAAAAACTTATAAAGGATTTGTCATGTAAAGTTGTTTTTTTCAACGATCATTGTGTATTTCAGGACAAGGAGTCGGGGAGGATGATTGGACATGCTAGAGAATGGAATGGCCTTTATTATCTCGAAGATCCAAGTCTGCCCAGCAAGAACATAATCTCTCACTCCTTCATATCTGAATCCTTGATGACCAATAGAGAAAAAACATGCTTTATCATTGTCGGTTGGGACATCCCTCTTTTGGAGTGATCAAAATTATGTTTCCCTCTCTGTTTACCAAGTTAGATGTTGAGAGTCTTCATTGTGAAGTGTGTGAACTTGCTAAGCACAAGCGTGTATCTTTTCCAATAAGTAATAAAGTTAGCAATTTCCCTTTTTATCTTGTTCATACTGATGTATGGGGACCTTCTAATATTCCTAATGTGTCTGGTGCTCGATGGTTTGTCACCTTTATAGATGACTGTACAAGGGTCACTTGGGTTTTCCTACTTAAACAAAAATCAGAAGTCAGTTCTGTCTTCCTAAACTTCCACTCCATGATAAAAAATCAGTTTGGTGTCAATATTAAGAGACTTAGGTCAGATAATGCCAAAGATTACTTCAATCATGTCCTTAGTTCTTTTTGTCAAAAAGAAGGTATAATTCATGAGTCCTCTTGTGTCAAAACACCACAGCAGAATGGGGTCGCAGAGAGGAAAAATGGACATCTATTAAATCAGACTCGGGCATTGTTGTTCCAAAAAAGTGTCCCAAAAAATTTCTGGGAGGAAGCTATCCTTACAGCGACATACCTTATCAATAGACTACCCTCTAGAGTCTTAGGATCGAAAAGTCCTATGGAAGCTTTGTCATCTTTCTATCCAAACCTATCTACTACAAATAACCTTAAACCAAGAATTTTTGGATGCATCTCATATGTCCATATTCATAGTACAGACAGGGGAAAACTTGATCCTAGAGCCTTAAAGTGTGTCTTTGTTGGTTACTCACCCACTCAGAAAGGGTATAAATGCTACCACCCCCCATCCAAAAAATTCTTTGTGTCTAGGGATGTTACCTTCAATGAACAAGAGGACTATTTCCATCAATCTTATCTTCAGGGGGAGAGTTTCAAGGAAGAAAAGGAAAGTAGTAATTCTGATTTTCCCATTCTTCCAGACTTGATATTTGAACCTAAACAAGATCAAATTGAAGTTGTAACAAGTGAAACAGGTCAAAGAATTGGTCAAAAAAAGGAAGCTGGTCAAGAAAGTGAAATTAATTGTGAAGCTCATCAAGGAGATGTTGAAGCTGACAAATTTGGTAAGAAGCTAGTGTACTCAAGGAAGACTAAGGCCATTCCAGGATCAAGTAATGTTCAAGAATCCAACTCGACTCCACAAAAAGAGGTAACAATTTTTTCTCCAACTGTACAGATTGAAATTGAAACCCAAAATGATCCTGACCTCCCAATTGCCATTAGAAAAGGAACAAGAAAATGCACCAAACAGTCACTCTACCCTCTCTCAAACTACCTGTCCTTTAAAAATTTCTCTACTACCCATAAAACCTTCCTAGTAAACCTAAACACTACACTTCTACCTAATACCCTATCTGAGGCATTGTCTGACAGAAAATGGAAGCAAGCCATGGATGTAGAGATGGAGGCATTGGAAAAGAACAACACCTGGGAGTTAGTCACCTTACCAATAGGAAAGAGGCCAGTTGGATGTAAATGGGTCTATACAGTGAAATACAAGATTGATGGATCAATTGAGAGATATAAGGCAAGACTAGTTGCCAAAGGGTTCACCCAAACCTATGGAGTTGATTATTTGGAGACCTTTGCTCCGGTTGCCAAAATGAACACAGTTAGGGTGATATTGTCCCTGGTGGCCAATTATGGTTGGAACTTGGAACAATTTGATGTTAAGAATGTTTTCCTACATGGAGACCTTGAAGAAGAAATTTATATGGAGATACCTCCGGGATATGGTAAAGATGTTGCTGCCAACACTGTTTGCAAGTTGAAAAAGGCATTATATGGGTTAAAACAGTCCCCCCGTGCATGGTTTGGCAGGTTTACTGAAGTTATGACAGGTCTGGGTTACAAACAAAGCCAAGGTGACCATACTTTGTTTTTTAAACATTCCAAGTCAGGGGGAGTAACAATATTATTGGTGTATGTGGATGACATAATATTAACTGGAGATAATAAAGAAGAGCAGCAATTATTGAGTCAATGCTTAGGCAAGGAATTTGAGATCAAGACCTTGGGAAAACTAAAATATTTTTTGGGAATTGAAGTTGCCCACTCCAAGAAAGGGATATTTATATCTCAGCAGAAATACATCACTGATTTGCTCAAGGAAACTGGCAAGGCAGCTTGCAAACCTGCTAGTACCCCATTAGAACCAAACCTAAAGCTTGGAAATGCAGAAGAAGATGTTGCTGTTGAAAAAGATATGTACCAAAGATTAGTGGGCAGACTTATATATTTGTCGCATACCAGGCTAGATATTGCCTATGCAGTGAGTTTAATTAGCCAATTTATGCATAGTCCAAAGGAGACCCATTTACAAGCTGCCCACATAATTTTACAGTACCTTAAAGGAACTCCAGGAAGAGGGATTCTATTCAAAAGGAATGGTAATGTAAAGCTTGAAGCCTATTCTGATGCTGATTATGCAGGGTCAATTGTGGATAGGAGGTCAACCACAGGATATTGCACCTTTCTTGGAGGAAATCTTGTGACTTGGAGAAGCAAAAAGCAGGGTGTAGTGGCTCGGTCCAGTGCTGAAACAGAATTCCGAGCCATGGCACAAGGTATATGTGAGTTACTATGGCTTAAAACCATCTTAGAAGACTTGAGGATAAAGTGGGAAGAACCTATGAAGCTCTATTGTGATAATAAGTCAGCAATCAGTATAGCCCACAACCCAGTGCAGCATGATAGAACAAAGCATATTGAAATAGACAGACACTTCATCAAAGAAAAGCTTGATAGTGGCTTGATATGCACTCCATATGTGTCCTCTCAAGACCAAATTGCAGATATTCTTACCAAGGGGCTGAGCTGCCATAATTTTGAGAAGATTGTATCCAAGCTGGGAATGGAAAACATCTATTCACCAGCTTGAGGGGGAGTGTGGGAAATCAAATAGTATTTTAGGAAAGAATAAATCAGGAAATTTGTATATTTCCTTGTAATCTGTACAGATTTGAATAATTAGGAACAATCCCATAAATCAAGGGATCCTAGCATAAAATATAGTTATTATATTTCCTAAAATAGCTTAGGTCTCCTGTATATATCTTATATCATCTCTTTGTATTGAAATAATATCAAATATATTTCAGTTAATCTATTTTTCAAGAGTTAGTATCCGTTCAACTGTAATTATTTAAATAAATAAATATAACAAATTATTTTTTGTATTCAGATTTCAATCAAGTGGGACATTCAACAAAATATTGGCAACAAACTACTTGAGGAACCGGTACAACCATGAAAAATATTGACCACCAAGTACTAAAGGGTACCCAAAGAAAATAGCTTAAATAAAAATATATTTCTAAGACACATCTAACATTATTCATTCAAAGCTGATAAGAAAATCACATCACCTCTGTGAAGCAAAGAATATATCTTGAAGGCAAAATCCCATTATAAGCATTCTTCACTCTTTCAATAGTGGGGAATATAATCCTAACAGAAGGATTCTTCTGTTCTTCCCTAGCATTCCAGCAGCCCCACTGTGAAAGCATCATTAAATTTTTGCATTAAACGTAAACATAATTTCAACAAATTACGCCTCTTTCAGAAAAGATGTAAAATTTTTCAAGTGAATCTAACGAAAGAGAAAAGGCCTTCAAATTACTTCAGGATCAGACTCTTCTGAATCAAAATGTTGCAATGATTTCTTCCCAACAGCAGACGAAAAAGCAGCAAGAAATTTTGAATTGACAGATGAACCAATAGAAGATGCACCTGACAACGAAAAAGGTGCCAAACAATATAGTCCAGAAGGATGAAAAGAAAATGAGGTCATCTTGTTGATTTTGACCTGCAATGTAGTAGGGTTGGCAATTTACTCAATAATATTAAAAAAAAAAAACACTTACTGTATACAATTTCAGACTTTAATGATTCAGGCCATTTGTATCGATTTAGAACCTGGTACAAAAAGTACTAGTAATTATTCATAACTGGATCTTCAAAATCATTTTAGCATAAACATCTTCATTCACATGCAAGATCAAGAATGCTTTAGTGGTAAAGAAAAAGAAACTTGTAACTACTTCAAGACAACAAAAACTAGAAAAAAGAAGTCAAACGTAACCTTAATTTCAACATTAAACTAAGTGTGACTATTTCAGTCTATTAGAAATTAGAAATAGCCAGCTCATGGGAGGAGAACTAGACAAGCCTTATAAGAAGTATTTCCGTCATATTCCTAACCAATATGAGACATCTTCAAACACACCCTTCACACCCAAGACTAGACATCTGAATAATTAAACTTACAGGTTTGGGAATTTGCAGGTTGGCTACCATAGAGATTAGATAGACTACTGATATCGTTCTAGGATTTAGAATAAATAGAAGAACCAAGAATGGAGAAGAGAGTCCCAAACAAGAATGGATTCTGATATTATTGATAGAGAATGAAGATTACAGAGATTTTTGGACAAAATAGAATTAAAAAACTTTCAAGAGTCCCCGCTACTAGTTATATACAGCGACTAATTGCTAACTGTTAAGGTTCCAACATAAAACCAATTGGCAATATGTGGAGTAGCCTAACATGTATTTAAACCATACCAAATGACATGAGGTAGGCGATGTGGAACTTTCAACACACCTCCTCTAACGAAGCCTGCCGGACCCAGGCAAAGGATACTTTTGACCCAACTAAAGGGCAACTTTTGACCCATGACAATAACCGGAAAGATGTTAGGCTTTGGCTCTGATACCATGTTAAGGTTCCAACATAAAACCAATTGACAATATGTGGAGTAGCCTAACATGTATTTAAACCATACCAAATGACATGAGGTAGGCGATGTGGGACTTTCAACACTAACAAACTTGCAGAGTCACTACCTATTGACATGTGGCTCTATACACTAATCAACTATTACTTATTAACACGTGCCTATGTACATTAATCAACCCTTTCCTATTGACATGAATCTCTGTACACTGATCCTATATCAATTCCCCTCCTCTTAAACAAATCCTTGACCTCAAGGAATGAATCCTGAAAACTTCTTCAAATCATAGTAAAACTCCCAGGTGGCATCCTGCAGAAGCTGATGTTTCTACTTGATGAGTACCTTTGTTAAATCCTTATTACCTCTTTTTACTGTCATTTTGCTGATTATAGCTTAAGGCTCCTTGTGAATAAGTTCCTCGTTAGTGCTTGGGCAATTTACAGATGTTAATATTTCTCCAACAAATTTCTTGAGTTGTGAGATATGAAACACGTTGTGGATCAAAGAATTAGAAAGAAGTTGAACCATGTAAGCCACTGCCCAAATTTGATCCAAAACAGGGTAAGGACCATAATATTTAGGGGCTAATTTAGCATTATTTCTAAATGCTACAAAAATTTGTCTATAGGGATGTAGCTTCACATAAACCAAATCTCCAATTTGCAACTTCCTATCAGTCCTATACTTATCCGCTAATTGCTTCATTCTATCATTCATAACTGTTAGAATCATTACTTCCTAGTATTATCATTAGACCTAAGTATAGGGTGTTGAGTGTAGGAAACTTCCTACATCTGTATCTAGGTCTGCACCTAGGGTCCTAGTTGCAGTCTTTTACTTAGTCTTCTATGTCTCTTTGTATCAGATTTTTCATTATAAATAGAAGAAAGGGAGAAGGGTCCCTTGAGCCCTGAAGATATATTTTTTCTCTATTAATCTTAAGTTGGTATCAGAGCGGGTCGATCCCACTCTGGTTTTTGTCTGGTCTTGTCCACCACCATCAGTCACCGCTATCCGCGGATGTCCACCATTAGTCACCGCTGTCCGCGACCGTCCAAGCTCAGTTTTATCATTGTCTGAAGCTATCCTTTGCTCTGCTGGACTGTCCACCACTGCCAAGCATCTTTCAGTTGTTGTCCACCGCCATCAGTCGCCGCTAGCCACCGCAATTTCGTCCGGAAACCACCGGATCTGGACCGCCTCTGCGAGCAACAGCCAACCCTGTTGGTGCTAACAAGAGACTCCTCGCGACAAGCCGCCACGTGCACCATCTCCGTCCGCTGCAACTAGGCGCGTGTAGTCCACGCGCCGCCATGCACTCGCTGAATCGTCACCGCGCCACCTCAATAGCTTTTGCCCGAACCTCCTCTGTTTGTTTTGACCTTCCAAACTAAGTTTTGGTGAAGTCCAGGCGTCCCCATTTCGAAAATCTCCCTAGGGCTTTCAAAAATCTTCGTTGTTTTTGCGCATCTGCTCTCTGTTTTTGTCCTCTTGATCAAAAATGGCAACTGGAAGTGCTGGAAGCGCTATTTCATTCTCTGGAAGTCCTTCCATTACTTCCGAGAAGCTAAACGGACAAAATTACCTCTCTTGGTCTGTTGTCGTCAAGTTGTGGTTCCTTGGCCAGGGACATCATGATAATCTTGAGAAAGACGAAAGTCATTTGCCTAAAGAAAAAGCCGAACAATGGAAGCAAGTAGATTTTCAGTTGTGTGCCTTGTTGTGGCAATCCGTGGAGCCAAGACTTTTAATGTCTCTTAGGGCCTTCAAGACATGTCACTCTTTTTGGAGGAGGACTCAAAACATATATGCCAACGATATCCAACACCTTTATGATTCGGCAAACAAGTTGGCATCTCTGAAAATGACCAATCATGATATGATCTCCTTCATGAATGAAGTACAATCAGCCGTGGAAGACGTGGGGATGTTCTTGGAGATCGACGCTTCAGATGAAATGAAGAAGTTTGACCAATACTATATGGTGATGATTCTTCGCGCTATACATCCATGTCGCCGCCGTCAAAAGAGGCGGTCGGAGCGACGCGATGGTTCCGACTTTTCCAATTTTCGCATTTTTATGGGTGATGTTACAACGCTTTTAGGTTGTCCGATAACCGGGCTGAACCTAGAGACGAGGTTTTCGAAAAGGTGTTCTTGGATTGTCCGATAACCAGGCTAACCCAAGAACTGATTTAAAGGGGTTCTTATGGAGTCGCCACCGATGTTTTTACCGGAAACATCGAAAAAGGGGTAAAAAGGCGTTGGTTTTCGAAAACCAACATTGGTCATTAAAACCAGAGTTAGGTAAGAGAGTTAGTTACGTGTAAGGGAAGTGTCAGTTCCCTTACGACGCCCCTTTCGGGTTCCCTATGATAGGCCAACTATTTTATAAATAAACTTTTGAAAAAACGCTTTTACCCTTTTATTTACAGAATTAAAATAACGACTACATGGCCCTAATGTCTATTATGTAATTTAATCATAAAAATAAAGACAGTAAAAAAGAAGGAGAGAGTAAAGAAACCTCCGAAGCAAGCTTTTTGATTAATTCTCTGAAAAATTAGGGTGCGTTTTGGCAGCCCTGCGCTCTTTACAACGTCGAAAACTCTCTCGAAACGCTATAAAAACTCTCAGAAACTCCGGAAATGCTTCGCAGGGGTTCTAGGAAGAGAATTTGAAGAAGTTGTAGAAGGGAAAGTGGAAGAACTGTCTGAAATGAGGGGGAGAGCGCTCACTATTTATAGGGATTCGCGCCTGTCGGGTCGAGACGGCCATCTCGCATTCGGGACGGCGGTCTCGACTTGTAAAAGTGGCGAGACGGCGGTATCGACTTTTCCAGAAACGAGAAGGCCTTCTCGCCAAATGGGAGGGGGGTCTCGCTATTCGCAAGTAGCGAGACGGCCGTCTCGCCAAACGAGACGACGGTCTCAACTTGCTGGAATGGCGAGACGGCGGTCTCGATCCCTGAAGGCAAAAATCCTTATTTTAATGCAGAAAATCGTTCCTATCCTATTATAGGGCCTAATAGTCTCTCCTAGTGGCTTCTTAGGCTTCGTCCATCTTCGAATAGGAAGTCTTCTGGTCTTTATTATGAGGCCGGGTAAGATTTGGGGTCTAGAATCCAGACTTCAACCATATCAGAGATCAGCTTCTAACCTATCACGAGGTCCCTTCCATGGACACCTTAATCCAACGCATGGTCGTGTCCCAACACATGGAACTCTGGAAACTCCTGCTCTAGTAGAACAATCTGTTATGGTCGCCACTCGAGGAAGAGAAGGATGTGAAACTAGAGGAGGCGGACGTGGTGGTCATGGGCGTCCTCAGTGCACATATTGCAAAAGGATGGGTCACACCCAGTAAAATTGTTACTCCATACACAGTTTTCCATTCAAAACAGCCAATGTTTCTTAGGCTGAAACGACTGAACCCAAGTTCACTGAGGACGAGTATCAAGAGTACTTACAACTCAAGTCCAACAGCTTGGCACAGCCATCTCAAGCTCCAAGTACACCAACATCTTGCATCTCTTAATCTATGGAAAGTCACAATTCATGGGTAATTGATTCCGGTGCTTCTAACCACATCTCTGGTAATACCTCCTTGTTCTCAACCATTTCACTTCAAGACAAACCTCATTTTATAACCCTTGCAAATGACTCTAAAACTTTCTCAAAGGGAGTCGGTCAAGTCATCCTGTCTCCTTCCTTAAATCTAAAATATGTCCTTTTTGTCCTTAATTGTCCCTTCAATTTAATTTCCTTAAGCTAGTTCTGGGAAAAATAAATTAATTGAAATATGATTTTTATTATATCTGTTGAATATAGAAAAAACTGTATAGGGTTAATTTCCTTTGTGTATTTACCACACATAGGGCAGTGTATTTATAATAAAGAAAGGTACTCCTCAAAAGAGTAACAGAATACAAAATAGGGTAAATAAGGTAAATAAAAGATATTATTTGATATTGTGATTAACAATATCTAACAATATCTCAACAATATCAAATAATATCAACTAATATCTAATCATATCTAACACTCCCCCTCAAGCTGGAGCATACAAATCGTATGTGCCTAGCTTGGTACAAAGATAATCCATCCTAGGTCCCCGTAAAGACTTAGTGAAAATATCTGCTAATTGATCACATGAGTTAACGAACTCAGTCTTGATGTCTCCAGACATAATCTTTTCCCGAATAAAATGGCAGTCAATCTCAATGTGTTTAGTCCTCTCATGAAAGACAGGATTAGAGCTTATATGGAGAGCAGCCTGATTGTCACACACTAGTGTCATTTGAGTGACATCTCCAAATTGTAGCTCTTTAAGCAATTGCTTGAGCCAAATAAGTTCACAGGTAGCTGAGGCCATAGCTCTATACTCTGCTTCTGCACTGGATCTTGCCACAACACTTTGTTTCTTACTTTTCCATGAGATCAAGTTACCACCAATGGAAACACAATACCCAGATGTA